GATTCGGAAGGTAAGGGGGGTTGGGAGGTGGAAGGATGGATGGAGATGGTGAAGGCTTCTGGGCAGGGACCAGATCCTCCCCCTGGGCCTCCGCCCCCACCTCCTCGTTCCGCCGGGCATCTCCGTCGCTGGAGCATCCCGCTGTCCCTCCCCAGCGCTCCGCTGAGGAAGCCTCTCGCTTTTCATGCAGACCTCTTCCAGGACTTGAGTCAGTTCCAGGAGACTTGGCTGACGGAAGGTAGGCTACTTCCCCTTGCTCTGTTTTGTTTTGTTCGCCTTTCAGTTGTTTGTCTTTCGATGTTTGTACCGCTCCTTTGCTTTATTTATCTAGCTCCAAACATGAAGTATTTTTTTCAGACTTGCCAACCTCTGGCTTGTGTAAATGAAGACGCATGAATCACACTACTGTGCTGGGTATCTGCTTATGAATGGAACTTGGCAGTTGGCCCACTTTCCTGGTTACAATTTTCGTTTCAGGCTACTTGTAACTGGTTCGATTTGATGCTAATTTGTCACTTATCTTTGTTGGTTGCCAGAACGCTGATTTTTCCTGAACAAACAATAGACTATTGTTTTAATTTGGGGAACAAAGTGCTTCTCTCAACTTTTTTTTATTTCTTAAGATAGTTCTTTGAAGGGACCTCTCTGGAATTCACACACTGTTCAGTTTGGTGTCTAAATTGTTTTGCGTTTTGACCTCAAGGAAGAGAAAATGTCAAATCGTGGGGAGTTCCATTAATTCCAAGTGAAATTAGTTTTAAACAGTATGGTGAATTTGCTCTAATTCCAGTACTACAAATGATCCATTCTCTAGAAAATTCAAAACATATCCTCAAGTAGAAACTCTTGATAAATATTAAGGTACTTACTGTGATATAAGTACTTAACAAATATTTAACAATAATAATTTAAAAACATACAGGCATTCTGAGCAGGGTTATTTCCCTTAATTTTACCACAAGTGAAGGACAATCCTGTCAAACAGTTCTTTTTTTAAGCCTTCAAAAAGGTGTTTTCAACTAAGACTATTAAGGAAAAAAAAAATCTAATGTGTTATGTTCTTTTCAAACTGAAATGAAATTACACTGATCAAGCAGTATTCAGGAGTGTGAGGATTGTAAGGATGCAAGAGGAATTACTTGGAGACTACTCCAGGATTGAAACGCTCATCTAACTTACATCAGAGCAGAAAAATAAGTATTAATTGCTGGTCATCTAATAGGTCTGCTGAATGTATGTGCACACATGCTTGAGACTAGTTTCTCTTAAATCTTCAAAAACTTTGAGCTGCCAATAAGATAAGTTTGCCTCAGTCCTGATTTCTGGTAACTTTCAATGTTAGACTTTCTAATGTTTGATAATATTTTTAGCTCACTAATCTAAAGAATTTGCATAGAATCTCTTACAATATGTTTGTCAGTAGCAGAGTGTTTGTAGAATTAATTCCTAAGTACCCTGGGGTGAAGTGAGGGTCACACATGGTCTCGTAGCACTGTATAGAAAGAAGTAATCTGCTATTATACATGATTAGTAAATGACAATGCAAACTCCATTGCATGTTTTTAGAATATAGGTAGATATCTCTTTTTGTAAAGCTCATAGCATCTAGTCAGAGTCCAAGTGAAATCTTTGGGAAATTCAATGCGTGCTTTAATATTCTGGCATATGATTTTAGACTGCATATATAGGGAACTACTTCCTCCCATGGTGACTTCCATTTCCAGACTCTTAACAAAAAAAGTTGCCCTCTGAAGAAAACTTGTGTTTATTTTCCTGTATTCACCAGTATGTCGAATTGTTTTCCTGGATGGACAAAATAATTTTTATTTTTTTTATTAGTATCTTGTACGTGTCTATATGCTAGCAATTGTTAACAAGATGAAGGCAACTGAAAACTTAAGAGTACCTTCCTAAACAATACAGAAGAAAAAGAAAGTGAAAATATGAAATATTTTATTCTTTGCCTCTACCGCATTTAGCTAAGACATTTAGCTATTTCATTTTATTATTTTGTTTACAGTTCTTGGTGTCCTGAAATAAGAGGAAACAAATCTAGGAGGGAAGCAAACTGGAAATATAAATTCCCAACAAACAATCAGCCATATGAAAAATGGAAACAAATTTAAACCACATACGTGTGTGTGTTTGTGTGTATGTGCCAATATATATATTTATGTGATTTCATTCATAGGGGTATTTCTTTGTTGGCTTTTCAGAATATTTTTAATAGTGTCAATTAACAACTGATTTCTCCTTTGCAGGCTAAAAGAATAGCGTCTGCATATAGATGACTCTTAAAAGAAACAGATGCTGAAAAATCCTAGTCCTTTTTAATAAAAATCTCAAGCTTTCCTCTACGCCATTTTTACTAGGACCTGTTAGAATGCGGTGATGTGAAGCTGGCAGTTGATAACTGCATGGAACTAACTTCAAGCCATATAATTTATAAAAGTGATTTGGCATTCAGAGAAACAACAAAACTTCCTTGGAGAAAAGTTGCAGAGGTAGTTTAGCTGTGCTGACTGCAGAGAGGAGAGAGATGCACTTCTCTGTGTACCCGTAGTCAGAAAGCTTTAGTTATGGTGCTCCAGATCTCAAAAGCGGTGTGGAAGATGGTGAGGCACGTGTTGATGCAAGCAGACTGAGTCATTAAAATAAGCCTGGAGTTGAGCTTTAAACGTCTGATTAGGTATCCCAGTTATTTTAAGTATGGATGCTGATTTGGGGAGAACAAGAAAACGTCTGTCAGTATTGCACCTATAATAAATGTAAATAATGTATAAACACTATTTATATATTAAATAAACATACAGTAAATAATGAATATAAAAATTGACATTTTCTTCTGGCAACTGGCACTTTAGCCTCTTAGTACAGAACTGTAGCTGTCTGCAAGCATCACTGTCCAGCAGTCAGGGTGCATGTTCTTTTCTGTGATCCGTTGCTGTCAGTAATTCTCTTAGCAAGATTGCCAGCAATGCTATAGACAGTAGTAGTCTCAAGGCAGGAGGCTGTGAAATCCAAACTCAGCTCATACTATGTAATCCCCATTATTTCTCCTATTACAATGTAGCCTTTCCAAATTTATCAGTTGGTAGTTGTTTTTCCTGAGCTAAATGTTTAAAAATCCCCATGTTATGTTTCTAATGAAAACTGTGAACACTGAGCTAATAAACTTGCTGTTGTCCTTATTTCCAAGATAAGAGAGAAAGAAACTGTCAGGATCTTAAAGGGTAAATCTGCAGGCAGAAGAACTGTATTCATTAATCCCAAAGGGTAACTATCCTTAGTCACTAAAGTGCATCCCAGCAGAAAGCTCAGATCTTTCCTGCCTAGACTTATTTCTGCCTTACTGTTAATTACACCATCCAAAGTGCCAAATCTAATTGTCTTCTCTCTCTCCCTCCCCTCCTGCCCTCCCTCCCCTGGCAGCTCAGGTTCCAGACAGTGATGAGCAATTTGTGCCTGACTTTCATTCAGAAAACTGTAAGTAGCACGGGAGCGGGCACACATCTCAGGGGCGAAGGGCAGGATACACTTAAACCAAACAAATATGTAAAGGCAACACACAGACATTGAAGCTAAAGTACACGTTTTATTTCTACATTTTTATGACGGTGACAGAAAACCAGGCTAACTGTCCACGTCTGAACAATGTGAAAGTGTCTTTGTGTGGTGGTAACTACCGCCATTTCTTACGCAGAGCGGTTTCAAAGGATGTGCGTTTTAGTTGGCGTGTGTGAATAACTAGGCACCCCTAAACAGCTGAGAAAACGCATTACTGCAGCAATCAAAGGTAAAATTTGTGCTATTACTCCTCCCAACACGAAAGAAATTGGACTGTACCTGGAATTATGGGTGCCGTGTCTCCTGCAGGTGCTTTTTTAGGGGCTCTGCTTACCTGCATGGCCTCTGGCTGAGTATCTGCTGCCAGCACGGGCTCTGTGCGACAGTGGTCCTGTGCTGCCACAGCATGAGAGCACAGTACCCCTGACGAGACACACTCGCCAGCCTGCTTGCTCTCTGTTCTTAGGAGCTGCCTCCTAAACAGATTGCATGTGTTTGCACAGACTGTACCACAAATGGTATGGACTCGATGATCTCTAAGGTCTTTTCCAACCTAGAAATCTATGAAATGTTTGCTCTGAGAACTGGTCAAAGCACTTCACCTTACAAAGGAGCTGAATGTTGCACAGGTACAAGCGTAGGTGTAGGTACCGGCCACACAATGGCTGCGCAACTACTTTGCTTTTCTCACACTGGGCTTGCTTCAGCTGATCCTCACAGCATGCACAGCATCCAAATTTCATTTGGAAACTGCTGCTGGGCTAAGACTACATGCCTGAAGTGAATGCAAACCGCTCTGAACAGCTCTCTGTTACAATCAGCCGTAAGAACCCAGAGCCTGACTTTTGACAGGCTACAAGAAGATGCCTCACTGTTCCCTGGGCACAGGCCTGCCTGGCAGCCAATTATGAGTAGAGACGTCCATTTAAAGCTGGTGCAGTCAACTTTGGTGCCCTCTCTGCCCAGGGCAGTTTTGCCCATGAAAACTGAAATGAAACACTTTTACTGGTTGTTCTTGTCTACCTCCTTCCCCCGGACTTGGCCCTGCAGCACAGCTGGGCTTGCTCTCCCAGTCACGTATCTTGTTTCTTCCTCTTTCTGACCTAGAACTGAGGAGAGCACTGGTCCCATGAATGAATGAATGAGCCAGTTGTAATGTGATAGCCTGTTCCAGCTATTACGGGCTGGAAAGAATTGGCTGCTCCTAACACATCTAGCTTCTTGAAACTGCAACCCACGTTTGTTATTCATTAAATTCTAACTAGCCCAGAAATATCCCTTCTTGTCTGCATCAGGCCATGACCACAGACCAGTGCGCTGAAAATGAAAAGGAACTTTTACTTTTTTCCTGGACTGTCACTGGTGTTTTGGATGAGCAGAGCAGTTAAGAGATTCCCCCAATCCCAGATTCAGGAATGTTGAACTGTTAGCATAGAAGAGATTCAACAAAGGGAAACCTGCATTGAGAAATTGTATGGGTAGTTGTGGAGTGCCAGCATGGCAGCCTCTCACCCAGGAATCACAGTATCCTGTAGAAGGGCCTGGCCTTTTTCCTGAGTGCTGAAGTATAATCCTGATACAATTAATGAAATTAGGTACTTCAAAGGGAGGCTGCTGAGGAGACTGCAAGCTGCACTTCGAACTTTGAGGTACATTACAGTGAAAGCAAGGACTTGGAAGTCAGAGTTCTGTTTTGTACTGTGCTTTAACAGTGATGCAGTTCTTTGGAAAAGGGATTTTAGCTATCTAAATTGGTTAGGTGCTTCTGAAAACACTACTTATGTAAGATGTCTGAAGCGAGTTAGCCTGGTGACAGCCTGCAATAATATGCAATACATATAATAGTATTTTCCCACCGAAAACCTTCAGCTTTTGTAGTGGTGTCTACAAAAAACTTACATTTGCTGTCCTACAGGACAAATGATACTATCAGGAAATCTACAATGTGTCGCCACATTAGCACACTATAATTTAATGTAGTGTTACAGGGTAATGCTGCTCACAAGACATGCTTCTCAGGCATGTCAATGAAAGAGCATTTTGCATCAGGCGAATAAAAACCAGCCCTGAACACCTTAGGAAATACCCACTCTAAATCCTTTTCAAAGTGCTCCAGATTATCACAGAGCACGTTAACACTACCTTAGATTTGCTCTTTTAAGTTTGATATATCATACAAACCTTCCTAAATCAAGGGCAGAGCACAAGAATGTCCAAGCACAAGGTGTGTTGGTATTTTGTTTCTCTCAAAGCCAGCTGAACAAGGACAAGGTGATGACATCTCAACTGACTTTTTACTGGCTGATAAAAATATCTCTCCATAAACAAGAAAAGTGTCAACTTGATCTTTCATTTCTCTCTCACAGTAGCTTTTCACAGTCCTCCTGCTAAGATTAAAAAGGAGCCCCAGAGTCCCTCCTCGGACCCCACGCTGTCCTGCAGCCACAAGCAGCCATCACAGCGCCACCATGGCGAGCAGTGCCTTTATGCCAGGTAACGGCTTACACAGGGGAGGGCCCGGTGTAACCAAGTGCTACTGCATTATCTAATGACAAAGTGTTACGACAACAATCTGGTCTGTCTGCTGGGTAAGTGCACACCTGCTGCAACACAAATTGAGCAGTGGGTCAGCCCACGGCAGCATGCTCAGACTGCCCTTTATTGCACTGGATAGCTCAGACCTGCAGAGATTGTGTCTGGGCTTGCCTCTTTTTTCCTCTCCCTAGTGCTGTTACTCAGCTGTCCTGATGCTGAGAGCAGTCTTGACATCCATCACATGCTTCTCTCTCCTCCTTGCTTTCCAAAATCTGTCCTGCGAGGAGCTCTCTGACACCATTGCCCACAGTCTCAGCTACTTGCCTGAGTTACAGAATGGCTTCTTCAGTACACACACCTTCTCCAGTTTTCTGCTTGAAGGTTTATTGCTACTGTGTGTGGGGGTGACCAATAACCACAAGGGAAGGAGTTTATGTTGGGAGTTTTCTGGCCCAGGTAGCTGCACAGAGGGACAGCGTGTCTGCCTGTGACGCGTTGTCCCCAGGTGCTGCCATAGGTCCTTCTCAGAGAACTGTAATGCTCCAATATCTGTTTGACTGTCCCAGTGCCTATGATCAACCCAGACAAGCTGAAATCAAGTTACCCAGCCAAGGAACCCCGATACAGTCACCACTCCAACAGTTCCCTAGACAGGACAGGAGCTTCCTGACCTCTGCGAGGCCACTCCACCCCACAGCCACCTCTGGATACCTCCATGAAAACAGGTGAGTTACTGCCAGGAGGAGGCAGCCACTGGCAAGGATTGCCCTCCTTGGTGATTCAGGGAGGAGGGGCTGCAGCATCCCGATTAAAGTGCTCAGTTTCCAGCTGTCGCAGGTCTCCCCCCATCCAAAGTACCTGGGACCAACCATTGCTGCCTAGAGTTTGAAGAAGTCTATAACTTAAGCCCATCAGATTCTGTGAATGATGGGCTGTGTAGCTGCCCTTGGAAACATCTTTCCTTGGGGTCCCTTCCTCGCCCCGGCTATGCCTGCAGGTCCTACAGCCCTAGTGACAGCCTGAGGCCAAGGAAGTTTCTGTCCCTCAACCAGCCCTGCACCAGGGCTGTGACCAGAGGGCCGAGAAAGCAGCCATTCCATGTCCTCTCCCCTCTTCTAGCTCTGCATACCAGCCACCTGTGGAGATGTGCTGTTCCTTCCCCTCCTCCCAGGGCACGGCCCAGGAAGACTCCATTGCCTACCAGCACCAGGTGTCCAAGCCCTGCCTCCAGTATGCTCATCAGGGCTTCAAACAGGAATACCACGACCCACGGTATGAGCAAGTAAGCCAGGCGGGCAGCAGCCGTCAGTACCCAGCAGCTGTGGTGATCAAGCAGGAGCAGGTGGACTACATGTATGACTCAGGTAGGCAGAACTAGCTCTTTCTGACTGTAAACCAGCCATCAGTGAGCAACCTCCTGGATGAACATCCATCACTGGTGGTCTTTCAAACAGTACTACTTCATCTTCAGGAGTATGTGTGATCTGGGAAACTGGCTGTGTAGCAGGAAACACAAACAGTTCTGTCTGTTTACTGCATCCAAGAGGAGGCTGTGACACTCGCTTTCCATACTGTGTCCTGGGAAGGACTTCCTGGTAGATAGTGGGAAGCTTTAACAAGATATAGGAGCTAGAAGGTGAGGTTAAACTCATTCAAACTGGATTAAAGGCATGCATTTTCCTTCCAAGAGAATAAGTAGCCATTGGGGAGACTCTCAAAATTCCTAATTAGCTCAGTCACACCACCAGAAATGGAGAAAAGAGCATTCCGAGTTTCACAGGGAGTTTTTGTCTTCAGGGGGATGTGTGAGCGGGTAGGTCGTAGAAAGGGAGAGAAGTGAGGTCAGCTTTGAAGAAATTCTTCTGAAGATGTTCTGTAAATGGCAGCAGAAAGGAAGGAATCAAGTGCCTTGGAGTTTGTACAGAAAAACTGTCTCGGATCCCTGTAGTAGGGGGGGACCTTCAAGCACTGGCAAAGGGAAGTGGCTCTGGGTGCAGGGATTGCCCTGCGCAGCCCTGAGCTGCAGCTCACACCACCGCCTGGCCCCGCGCCTTTGCCCCGCTGCAGACAGCAGGATTCAGTTCGCAGGCAAAGCCGCAGCGCTCCCGGCCCAGCTGTCACTGCCGAGGTCTCACCAGCAGCTGACACCCCCTGGAAACTCACTGCAGCAGGTCACAGAGAGCTGATGCCCCGTTGGGAGCTTACCGTGCAAGATAAACAAGCTTTATTCTGACAAACAGACCTGAAAGTCTAAAGCTAAAACAGAGTAAAGAGACTTGGGTGGCTCACAGTAAACTGGCCAATTCCAAGGACAGGTGTAAGCGTGGAGCGGGGTCTGGGTGGACATGGCTAAGTGCAAGTGTGCTGCTCTGTGTCTCCTGCAGTGCCAACCTCCACCTGCTGCTTCCCGTAGCAACAGGACACACCGAGCAGATAGCAGAAATTTCAGAGGATCACAAGGGAAAAAGTTTATAATCCCAAAAACAGCTCTCTAGATTCTAGATCAATCAGATAATACTCTAATTTTTCCACAAGGGATAAATCTTATTTTTTCAACAGACTTGTCCAAAGATGTACCCTGACATAGCAATATCCTCTTCTAGAGAGAATATTACTTCTGGTTTCCTGGTATTTTAATGGACATTTTGAATTGTTTCCTTTAGCAGAAATAAATACATAAATAAAAAGCTCCTATGAGGGTATAGAATCCATCATCGTGGCTATGCTGATATTACACTTTCACTGGGTCCTTCTGTCCAGACAGGGGAAGAAAATGTGCAAACCCAGAAGATGCTTTTTGTGAGAGTAGTTTACAATTGTAATAACACACAGTCTGCCAGCTCAGAGTACCCTTCTGCCCTTAGCATCAGCAAAATGCCTGCTGAAAGCAATGGCTATACACAGGATTATGAGGGAAACATGAGGTAAATCTTTCCAAAGCTCCCACTTACAGCTTCCATTTCAGCTGTGGTTGGAAAACAGGTTTGATTCAGAAAATGCAGGATTCAGAAAACAGAAGATACAGAAGATATAAATTGCAGTGTCCAGGCAACAATAGATGCTGCACAGAGATCATGAAAAGATTTTCGGCTTATTTTCAAACTCAGGCTATTTTTTCCTTTATGTTTTCTCAATTGCTTGTGAGAATGCCCTATTGTGATGTGAAAAGGCCAGAGAGATTTAAGATATCTGAAATTACGTTTGTGAGACATGATCTGTAGTAAGCATTCAGATGCTGCTCTCCATTAACATCATCATAGTACCCCTGGAAAAATGTAATGCTTTCCCACCCATGAAAATAGTGGCAGAATGCATAGTTATCTTAAATGGAGGGAGAGGTGTCATACAAATTTAGCCTTTGTCCAAGATTTTGTACTAACGGTGTACAGGTGATGGACTGGCTATCCTGGCTACTCTGAAGAACATCATGTTCCTTATTGGAATCATGATGAAGATGAAGTTGGGAGAGCTGAGACATAAAAAGTTATTGGTCTGCCACTATCCCTTTAGGAGGGCCCTAAGAGAACGTTGGTTAGGCAGCTGCGCTTGCCCATCCACCTCTAGACAGCAAGAACATTCTGCCTCCTGTGCTTTTTCATTAAATAAGCTTGTTAATTGTTCTGTAGATGTTCCTGGCTGTTGTTCCACGTACATAAATGTTGAGCGCTATCCAAACTATTCGAATACAGAAGATACATTAGGTAAGAAACTCAGTGACTGTGTTCTTTTCCCT